CCCCAAAACCCCAAAACCCCGTAAAGCTAAATGTTTTTATAAATTTAGAAAAAATAGATATAAAAATGATTTTATATACTCAAGATTGCTGATTAGACTCTAGGTATTTAATTATTAAAATTCTATTAAGAATATTTAAAAATACATATTACTATCGAACGAAGCATTTTCATTGATTAAATAATCTATTTAAAAGGAGAATATTAACTTTTAAATTACTGGGAAAAAATTAATATGTCTGCAACTAACTTACATAATTAAAACCTCCCTTAAATTGTTGGAAACTACAAGCTTTTAAAATATCTTGGTTAAGGCCGATTTGGTTTTGTTGGTTTGTATTCAAATGCTGCAGACAAAGCTGCAATAAAATTTGATTCATCTTGATATATATTGAATAATCTGCTTAATGAAAAGATCATCTTGAAATAACTTAATAATTAATTCAAACAGATGCTACTACAAATAGATGTTTAAAGATTTCCTAAATTAATAAATAGTAGGCAAGTCTTACTGTCAAATTTCTAGAATTAAGGCGAGTAAACAGAATGTATTATAATGACTTATTACTAATAATCACTAGCTTAATATTACATGAAGCAGCCATCTGTTTAGAAGCTTTAATATATTGCTTAGGACATTATTAAAGCAATTGAGCAGATTCATTCTATTGGAATAATTCATAGAGATATAAAACTAGACAATATTTTCGTTGATAACAATAAAGTAGTCCTTATAGACTTTGGATCAGCAATATCATATATAGAAAAAGAGACATAAAAGCATATCAGAGATTCCTCATAAAAATAAATGAAAGGGACACCTTTTACTGCATCAATCCACAGTCACAATTGCAAAGAAGTTTCAAGAAGAGATGACCTAATTTCAGCAATTTACTGTATCATGTACTTACATAGTGAAGATAGTATATCATGGCTAAGTTTTTGCGATATAGAAATTGATATGAAGGATAGAGATTACATGAACTAATAAATCTACCTTAAGAAAAAGCAATTATCACCTAATCTTGAGATATTTCATAATGATATGGTATCATAGAATTTAGTCTATCTTGTTAAATACCTAGAAAAAATGGAATTTCAAGAGGATCCTAAGTACAGTTTTTTAATAAATGCTCTTAGTGTAATTGATAATTAAAAGTAGTTTATAGAAGTATTCTAGATGGAATCTCCTTCCTTGGTAAAAACATATTTCTAAGAAATTAGCATTCATAAGTAAGAGAAAAATATAGAAAAGAACTAGCCAGGTAAAGAATAATTCGAAGAAGAAAAGGAGAACGAGGAAATCGAATATAATAAATAAGATTAAGGTGGAATAAACTAACACAGCAGCCTAGAATAATAAATGCAATATAATAATGAATAAGATAAATCTCGAGTGAATGATAATATTGCATGTGATGAAAAAAATAATTAAGGAATAAGATTAATTGATGAAAATCAACAATAACTATCTAATTAAGATGCTAGTGTTAAAAACAATATAAAATACATTAGTTAATAAGAATTTTTAGAATATTTAAATTCTTGTTATCACTAAAACAGCATATAATCTTAGCTTAAAAGAATTTAAGTGATGAAACCATTTAATAAGTAGTAACAATAAATAAACTTAAGATCTTTATCAAATGAATATTCAAACTTTTACCCGCCTATTTAGAGGTTACAAAAATGGGATTAATTAAAAGTAGAAAATCAATCACAAAGTAATATTTAATATAGTTTTTAAAACGAATTTAACAATTTAGAACAACCAGATTATTAAAATTTAGAGCAATTTTAAGCAAATTTATATGAAAAATAGACCTATTTAAATTCAGAAAATAGCTCTATCAAAGGGAAAGATTTACTGTAAATAGATATTAATAATTTTGAAATTGAGTAATTTAACCTAAAGAGTTTAAACCTATATCGCCATTAAGTATTCAGAGTAAATCAAGAAATTTTTGAAAATGAGTAAGTTAATCGATCAAATTTTAAGAATGATATTGACTAAACATCCATTTCTGATTACAGAGGCAAATAATGTAATGATAAATAATAATCTTAAGAAAAATATGCAAACAATTAAAAAATTTTTAAATAAGAAGCAATTAAGTCATTTAGTAATATAATTCATTAAAAAGGATCAAATGAATAAGAAATTTTGGAGATATTTTTTGATAGTTCTTTATAATGAAATTGTAAGAATGTGAGCATAATTTTGTAAAAATTCTAGGAAATCAAACTATGTTTTGACCATAGAAGTATTAAATTATTTGTTTGAGCTAATTACAATGATTTTGATGTTTATAATAAACCTATAAATATTAATTGCTTAAAAATATTTGTAAAAACTATAATATCAGAAACTTAAAAGCATAATTTATATTATATATCTGCATTAAATTTTCAAAATTGACATCTTATGGGGTTTTGGGGTTTTGGGG